CAGCTTTCAGAGTCAGTCATCAGAGCAATCTGTTCACCCACGTGGCTTATGGCTCTGGCCCATGGGGACTTGTTTTTGGCAGTGGTTTCCTACTGCTTCAGTTACTGCTGAAACAGGTTGTTTAATTGCTCCCTCTGCCTGGTGTCTATGAAAGCCAGTCATTGCAGCCCCAGACTTTAGACAGACCCCTGCCTGAGCCATGGAGGGATCAGCCCATACCACCTGCAGCTTAATAAGTCAATGAGAGAGAAAGCTTTCCACCTCACATTTTCTGTTTATTGTAAGAAGCACATTTAAATACATTTCCCAATACTGACATTGGTTGTAAAACCGAAGCATAGGACCCTAACAGAGAAGGCTTTTCTTCCCTGTCTGTAATGTGTTGTCTTTTTGATTTGCTCATTGCTGATTCTGATGCAGCGATGTTAGCCTGGAAAGGTCCTTAAACAACATCTTTTGCATTTCCCTGCTTTATAGCAGCATGACATCAGCTACTCTTATATGTTGGTCTTGTTTGTTCTTTAAAACGCCCAGTGAATGTTGCATTGCTTAATTACCCTGAAAGTTTTTTGAAGCATCCACCACAAACCTGCTGCCGAATTCAACACTAGTGGCCTTACTCTCAAGGGGAAGGGAAGGACGTGGGTCATTGCCCTCCATTTCTTTTGCAGATTAGAAAATTGTAACTGTGTCCTCTTTCTCTTTTCTGGAAAAAAAGAAAATCTAATTCCTTGTTTCCTATAGACTGTACCTTCCATTTGAGTTGCAGTTCTCCTGAGCACATTTTTGTTGGTGCGACAGACTCAAACACTGTAGCCAAGCACCACTGATGCTGACCGCTGAACAGCTGAGAGGAGAATTACCCCAGGTGCTTCATACACAGTGCTATGATAAAGATAAATCCCCAAATGGGATTTTTCCGCTTCTTTTTTTTCTCCTCCCCCCCTCCCCTGGCATCGACTTGTTCGGTTCTCACTGGACCCCCCAGCCCTTTCCGCAGGATGGTTGCCTGCCCGATCCGCACCACTGATGCTGACCGCTGAACAGCTGAGAGGAGAATTACCCCAGGTGCTTCATACACAGTGCTATGATAAAGATAAATCCCCAAATGGGATTTTTCCGCTTCTTTTTTTTCTCCTCCCCCCCTCCCCTGGCATCGACTTGTTCGGTTCTCACTGGACCCCCCAGCCCTTTCCGCAGGATGGTCGCCTGCCCGATCCACCCCTGCTTATGCCCCTGCTTGAGCTCCTCGAGTGTTTTGCACCTGTATTTACTTTATTTCAGTACTTTGGTTCCTAACTGGATTTCATAGTTTTTAGCCATCAGTGGAAGTGCTTGTGTTCCCTCTCAGCATAGCCCATGGTTTGATAGCTCTTGTCCACCGTTCATTTTCTGACCACAAATTTGAGAGAAACAGGTGTAGGGCAGACTTGTGTGGCTCCATGTGAAATGTCACACCAGTTTGACCACAAGCTGCTGATAACCAGTGCTTTTTGTACTTATCTTAAGGCCCTTCACATATGAGGGCTCTTCAGATTGCTGCTGAAAGCCTTATCGAGCTCATGATACGGCACAACCACGGCTTCTCTCTTGGCCACTTACCCAGCGAGATAAGGACTTTGGTTGGTCTGAGGTGGTTTTTCCCTGCCAAGCCAGGCTGCCAGCGCTCTTCTGACTGTTTTTGCTGTTTTGACGTCCCCCAGGTGCTTGTGAAGCAATCATTCAATCCTTTACTCTAGCATCTTCCTCAGTGTCGCAGTCAGGTGTCCCGGTCTGTGATTCCCCAAACATTTCTTTTCCCTCTGATTCAGCTTTTCTCTTTCCTTACCTGTTGTGGTGGGTTGACCTTGGCTGGATGCCAGGTACCCATCAAGCTGCACTATCACTCCC